ATGTGTGTGTGTATATATATTTAAAAGTCATTAGATTTATTAAAATTAAATTTCAACCAATTTGATTATTACATTATTTTATTGACATATAGTTTTTTGTTATTTTAAGTAATTTTTCATATTAAAAAACAAATCTTTGCTTGTATAATTTGCATTTGCCTTTTATTATTTACATTATATTAGACTGACTACACATGTGTTATTGCATTTGTGTTAGTGCTGCTCATGTTGTTAATGGGGCACAAAGATTTAATCTTTAGATCATTACATTTGTTGGGTTGTTGTTGTGCACTGATTGACTTTGTGGATTGGACCATTGGCTGAACAAAAAAAACAGAAATAAACTCAAGATTCCTTTTTAGTGCTATAGAAATTGTGGTGGACGGTTTTAATTTAAAATTCTAATTTATAATTTTATAGATTAATAAAGAGAGATATTTTAATTTTAACCTACATTTATTCTTAGATTTAAGATTATTTAATCTTCTTAATTTAATCTTAGAAATTATTATTATAAAATTTTTTTAATTAAATGGGATTGGCTGGTTGAGAGTAAGATGTCTTTTCCAAGAGACCTGCGTACAAATGATACATGTTCACAAATTAACAAAACATTTGTATTTCCAGATATCCAAATAAAACCTTTTAAAGATATACCAGTGGAATCAGATATTTTAATCTTGTTGTTGTTGTTGTTGTTTTTTTTTTTTTTTTAAATTATATCTATTATGTTGTATTGCTCATTCAATTTGGAGACAGAAAAGTATTTAAATCCAGTTCTTCCAGTTTGAGTGTGAAGAAGCATCACATCTAGTGTTAAATACCTGTGACCTGTGACTGGTAAGTACTGTGGCTGTAACAAGGCAGCAGAGGTAACCAGGCAATATGTGCTGTAGAGCAGCGGTCCCCAACCCCCGGGCCACGGACCAGTACCGGACCGTGAGTCGTTAGAGTTGAGGCTCGGGTGTGAAATGTATAGTTTTTAGGGTTTTTATCGGTTTTCAGCGTTATTTTGTTATGGTTTTTATCGTTAACTCGGTTTTCCTGGGTCTTTTCACGTGTGTTATGAATAAATCTTCTTTTTTTCGGTACCGGTATTAGTTTTATTTTGTTGTATTTATCTGCGACACCTTAAAGGCCGGTCCGTGAAAATATTGTCGGGCATAAACCGGTCCGTGGCCCAAAAAAGGTTGGGGACCGCTGCATGTAAATAAACACTGTACAATGCGGCTCTCTCTGTTAGTTATGAAGCAGTATCATACGTTTTTCCATACAAGATGATAAGAGGGGAAAAAATCAAGAGGTTTCAACATGATTGTAAAAGCAAGTATATAAACAATGTCACCTTAATAAAGAGAAGACAGAAATGTGTTTTGTACAGTGATCTGATGGCTAGTGAAAGAGATTTGTTCTGTGCTGTTTAGACTTTAGACTACTTCAGACCCACAGTACAAAGCAGCAAGACCAGCAAAATGTAATTGACAGTGCTTAACTCATGTGGTACGTGGGAAGGATCTCATCCTTTGGACTTAATCAGAAATCCTCACCTAATCCCGCAGCCAGGTGGTTCAGCAGGGCTCTTCAGTTTGACCTGTCACCATGAGGTGTTCACAGCAGCCAGGACTGATGGCTGTGGGTTAGGGCACAGCAGGTAGACAGTGCCTCACCCTTTGTTTTTGCTTTTGGGAGGTTTATACCGAGAGCCTACCCTAATGAAGGCCGGTTGGCTCCAGAAGACGGTTAGATGGATAGTGCGGTTGATGTATTTTCGGCGAAAGTGTCAAAGTTAAGTATGCAGCTAGGAAATGAAGAACAGGTCCTGTGTAAGTCTACAATTGAGCTTTATTATCATGTCAGCTTGCTCCGTTTCAGTGTGTGTTTCCTCAGTTTAATATTTTGGTCTGTTTCTTCCCACTTATTTATTTATTTATGTTGGGAGCTTTGATGTAAGCCTCAAGATTTGGGTTATGATTACAGCGTAAGCGTCCAGTGTAAGTGAAGTGCCGCGTCTCTCATTGTTTTCCTTCCTTCAGTTGAAGCTAAGTGTCGTCACAGTGTGATTATGACCCTTTTTAAGCAAGTGTAGCTAATTTTGGTGCAAATCTTGCATTGCTTTCAGAAAAGTTTTTTATGCTTGCATATGAAAATTTTCCACCAAGACTGTCAGAGCTCCAGATTAGCCTCCCAGCTGGCCACCCAGGTGTGCGCATAGCTGCACAGCTGCACAGATGACCGATTGTGCATCTGTTTCTTTGTTTGCCAGTGTTCATTTAAGGCATGTTTTTTAAATATTCACAATGGCCACTGCTGCTGACTGCAGCTCTCTAATGGAAATAAAGAGGATTAAAAAACAAGATCGTGATCATTTTATTCTGCTGTTAATTTGAAGTATGCAAATTTACAAGTTCTACAGTCGACCAGGTGTTAATAAAACAATTACAGGTATTAATTGGAGTCAATCCGCAGCAATGTTGTCATGCGTTATTTGTGTCAGTTCACAATGTGACTGTTGTTGACTCACTGTCTGATTGCGTTCAGATTATAAAGTGGCTTATCTGTGGCCCCAATTGAGTCATGAGAGCTAATGCCATACAGCCTCTTTTGCTCACAGACTCCATCCAGGCTCTGTGCAATGTGGTAGACCCGTTTGTGTGCACCTATATTTATGTTTTCCCGTTTCCTATCTTATAGGAAGGTGACTCTGGTGATGGTGGGATTGGATAATGCAGGGAAGACTGCCACGGTGCGGGGAATTCAGGGAGGTGAGAATCCAGTTTGCAGAATCATGTTTTATTGACCTCCTTGCGGATGCGTGACCTCTGTCTGCTCGTGTTTTCAGACAATCCGCGGGACGTTGCTCCCACAGTGGGCTTTTCCAAAGTCGACCTGAAGCAGGGCAAGTTCGAAGTGACCATCTTTGACCTGGGGGGCGGGAAAAGAATCCGGGGAATCTGGAAAAATTACTACTCGGAATCACACGGTGTGGTGTTTGTGGTCGATTCCAGCGATGTCCAGCGGATCCAGGAGACGCGGGAGACCATGGCTGAGGTCCTTCAGCACCCACGCATCGCTGGCAAGCCTGTGCTAGTGTGAGTTCTCTGAATAAATAACATTATTAGCTTTTGAGTAGAATTTACTTTGAGATTGCCTGTGCACATGAGGGAAAACAGAATGACCAGCAAAGTGCAGAGGGTAAGCTGAAATAGATGGAGATAATAGAGAAATTGCCCAGATTTGAAGCCTCAGCCCTCGCTTCAATTTTGTTGAATGCGGGGTGCACTGCAGGTTGATTCCTGCAGGCATCTGTTTAATCAGTAATCAGGACACAACATGCCGGCTGCACAGATGAGAGTTAAGTGTGTTTCCAGGTATGCAGAGTGCTTTAATGAGCAAGTCACAATCAGAACAGATTTCCATAAGATTTCCAGACATTGTAATTATGCACCTTGCAAAAAATTTAGTCTGATAAGTGTCCTTGGAACTACCTTACCTTTCTCTTTAATGACTGGGTGAGTTGGATTGCCTCAGGAAATGTAGTGAAAATATTAAGCTGTTTATATACCAGCCAATGGCCCATTCAGAGGGAGGTTAACCGAGGTTTGTTCGCAGCCACAATTTATGGGTATTCCTTAAATGCATCACACTGTGTGAATTAGCAAGTTGCTAATTGGCAAGTTACAGAATTACCTGTGTATAAACGAGGATACACTCTGTCTGTGTGTGTCTAGAGTTTTGGAGGACTGTTCATCCAAACAACATGATTTAGGCCTTTTGCTGGAAATCAAAGACAAAATTATATAACGTGGATTAAAAAAAACACAGACTATAGCGAGTCATCCATCTACCTTTGTGAGAGTTTCAGACCATCAGATTTTGAAAAAATGGGAACTTTTTACTGAGCTCTCTATTATTTTTTTTTCTCTGTCCTCTTGTTGGTTAAACTTTTCTTGCACACAGAGTGGAGCAGGTAGCACTACGCCTTGGTACTTGCAGGCGAAATTTGAGAAGACATCAAACTTGGCACTGCACTTATTTGGGTCCCCAGCTTACTGATGGACTGTTATGGAGCTAGGTGGAAACAAAACTAATGGACGGTGGAATGAACAGAGATCTGTTGATGGCTGTAACCAACACGTCTTGTTTTTTCCTTTCTGTTTTCAGACTTGCAAACAAACAAGACCAGGAGGGAGCACTGGCTGAAGCTGACATCATTGAGAACCTGTCCTTAGAGAAGCTTGTTAATGAGAACAAGTGTCTCTGTCAGATTGTAAGTGTTTGTGAACTGAATGGATAGACAGAAAGTATGGCTTTGAGTTTTTTTAAAACAGTGAAGATGACCTGTTAATCTAGTGGGTGCAAAGCTACATTTGCATCGGTTAAAAGTTTGTGCTGTTTTGGAGGTGATGTTAATGTTTTAACCTCAACGTACATTTCTTCTACAGGAACCATGCTCAGCCGTTTTAGGCTATGGGAAAAAGGTTGACAAGTCCATCAAGAAGGGCCTGAACTGGCTGCTCAGCAACATTGCCAAAGACTATGAAGCCATCACCGAGCGAGTGCAGAAGGACACGGCTGAGCAGCGCGCTCTGGAGGAGCAAGACAAGAAAGAGAGGGCAGAGAGAGTACGGCGGATACGAGAGGAGAGGTGAGGACGCAGCAGAAGCCAGTGTGGCAAACAAAATGTGGAAGAGGTTAAACTATAAAGTGGAAGTCTAAGACAGAAATATTTTGAAGCATAACAGGAGGAAGGAGATGGTCAGAAATGTTGAGTAAAGCTCTGCGAGCAGTGGAAATGTTAAAAGGCCAAAGGTTTCAAAAGTGTCTGCAAAGAGATATTTATCCCTAAATAAATTATTGCCTCTATTAGAAAAGGGCAAGCTTGCCGTCAGTGACTGAAATACGAGCTAGAACAAATGCACATTTTAATCAAATGTGACCTTAGATCAATTTTTTATAAATGTGACACCGCTACCAAGGAGGAGCATATCATTAAGCAGAAAGGTTAACATCTTATCTGTCCGCAGAGAGCGACAGGAGCGGGAGGAGGCAGAGCGAGAGGGAAGGCCCATCCAAGAAGATGAGCCCGATGATGAGTACATTCAGAGCCCCTTCCAGCCAATAGAGAGCATGATTTCTGAAGTGAGTTGTGTGTACACTCTGGGGCTGATAGTTTATTACTCTGGTTTATGTTGTTGAGACTCTAAAGTTAGAGTGCTTCAGAGAGCCCTTTACTCTCATGTTTTCTTCAGAACGAGGATAAAGAAAAGGAAAGGAAGAGGCAAAGAGAGCTGCAGGAGGGAAGGTGTAACAGCCCCAGGGCAGCCACTGATCAAGAGGAAGAGGAGGAGGAGGAGGAGGAGGAGCAGGGCGACATGAGACAAACACCAGAGAACAACACTCCAGGTGAGTTTCAGGACGCCCGGATCTCCCAAGCTCGGAAATTGAGAGTTGTTAGAACAAATTCAGTCGAAAGTTTCAGTTGAGGAAAAGTTGATTGGATGAAATGTCTTTAGTTAAGTCTTCTGGCAAAGAATTCGAAAGTCTTCTAAAAGTAAGCCGAGTGCGAAACAGTTTTTATGAATACAAAAATGATCTGCCTGATGTGCAGGGCAGAGGGGGTGTTTGAAGAGCTTTCGCTGGCAGTGTTGTTGTTCAGCTTTGCAACGAGTGAGCGTGTTTTCACTTTGAAAGTGAACTATTGAACAAGATGTTTTAAAATTTAAGAGAGAGATGCAGTCAAATTAAGCCATCTTTTTGATAATCATCTTCTTATTATGATCTAAGCTCAGAGTGCTCATAGATAAAAGGCGATTTAACTTTAAGTAGATGCATTAGAGGATGAAATGATGGCTTTGGGTATTAATTTAAACTTGCTTAGGCCCACTGTTGAAAGCTGAAAGCTGTTATAGTTAAGCTCGTGTTGAACATCTGGATACTCCACTTGCAACACATCTCTGTTCATTCAGCCACGACAGGTGAGCAGAGCAAGAAGAAGACGAGCAAGCTGCACCTGAAGAGGAAGCACAGGGTGGACCCGCTGAGGATAGAGGACGGACCAACGGAGAGCCTCACCCCTCCTCCGCCTCCAGGTCAGTCTGTACTTCATCACATTGAGCTGCTGTTACATGCAGCTTCTCCACTGCTACCCCTCACCCTGTTGTGCAAAAGTGGCTGATTGTACTAATTGGCTCAGTGAGGAAAAACGTCTGTTATGTTTCACTTCCTATTCAAGACTTTTATTGTGAAGGAACTACAGAAAATGCGATATGTTTGATGGATTTGGCAGAACTTATTTTACCCATTAGCCGTACAAGGCTGGTGGGGTATTGTATTCACACTGCCATGTGGGCAGGCAGTGTGGACACCCACGTTAACTCGAGAACAATCTGACATAGGATTTTCAAATTCATACCATAAGTTTGTCCACAGTCAATAAAAATTATTTTGCACAATAAAATATGGACACTGTGACACCGACACTAACCCAAAAACAAACAAACAAAAAAACAAAAAAACGTCCAACAACATAATTTATTTTACTCGGCAATGTGATGGAAAAAGACTTCCAACACACAATTACAGGCACGTAATAGATGTGAATTGAGCTTAGCATGAGTCCTGGACAAACCCTCAAATATGTTCCTATATATATGAGATGTCAGAATTTTACTGCAATTCAAGAAATGGTTAATAATACAAAAATAATTACAGGCAAAGACATAGGACAAGACCTAAACGAGGGCAATGGGAGCCCCGTCAATAACAAACCAAAGCGGAAGAAGGCCTTGATTCGACCAAGACTGACAACAGGACCTGCTGGTTACTCCCAAATGAAATCATTATTAATAAACAAAACTGCAGACATCAGCAGCATGCATATAAAGCCTGTTGCTTTATATTTAAGAGGTATTATAGGAAGATATTTAATACATTTTGACAGGCTGCTTTATAGCTCTAGATCACACAAATACATTGTGGTCCTGTGAGTTTTTGTTGTTTGTGTGCAACATTCGATCTTCTTAAGGAGTGAGATAATCCGCTGGTTATGGCTTTCCTTTTCAGGATCCTCCACTGTTCTCCTCATCCCTCTCTTCTTTATTTTGTTTCTTTAGTGGGATGGGCCACGCCCAAAGTCTCTAGGCTGCCGAAACTAGAGCCACTCGGGGACACGGGACATTCTGGTAAAGCTGTTTGTGCCGTCAGTGTTAACCGCTGTTTACGTGCATGCATTAACCACCCACCATCGGCAGTTTGTCACTAACTTGGTCTTACTCATTCATTAACTGCAGCACCTGATCAGTGTTTCCTCTACACAGTAGTGATTAAAGCTACATGGAAATAGTAGTCTTGCATGTGTTTTCCTTTTTCTTTTTTTTCTTTTAAAGGAGGAAGCCTGGTGTTTGTCTCACAGTGTTGGCGGTAGATTTCTAAGTTGCAGTGGAAACCCTGAACTCTGCCTTGAGACGTGCGCTGACTGTTAATTAGCATCTCAACCCCACGTTGCTGTCTTTATTTTTCTCTCCCTCCTGCATCTCTCCAGGCATGTGTTTGCATGTGTGTGTGTGGATCTTTCACGGGTGCAGACATCTAAAATCAACTCAAAGACTTGTCTGTGTATTCATCTGTATTCATTTTCCTCCAGTCTGTGCAGCATCTTTCACGGTTGCTTCCATTGAGTGCTTACTTTTTTAAAAATAAATTTGTATTTCAGGTCTCCGTGGACGTTGCGTACTAACACAACCAAACCTTTTCTCCTTCCCTCCACAGAGTTTTACAAGAAACCTCTCCCGCCGGTCGCCAACAGGCCGAGGCCTAACGGCGATGCTCACGACATCATTTCTTAAACCCTCTTTTAGCGATTGAGGTTGATCAATCACAACTGTATTCTCCTTTCCTTTTTGTCTCAAGAGAGCGGTCTGTAGACAACCAAGCAAATAAAAGCTTGACTGCTGTGGATGCCGGAGCCGGGGACTTCTGAAAGGGCGATGGACACTAAACAGAGTGGCGACAGGAAGTCCTGCTCAGAAGCTGTAATTTGACCTCACAAATTCATTGTGAAACCCACCTGAACTGTGCATCAGACTCTGTCTTCACAAGCAAAAGCACAACTTGGTGTTGAACTCTCTCCAGCTCGTAGACTTTATATCCTTCTATTAATATCAGTGTTAGTTCGGACTTCTGTGTCAAACTCTGATGCTTTTAATCGACAGCAATGTAAATATACCCTTTAAATATGTCTGAATAATTTATTTGTATACATGCCACATCATTTATTTTTGCACTTCTGGGTTTTTAGTGTAAAACACCATGTGGCTCAGGCACCTGAGTAATGATTTAAAAAGGAAAAAAGAAAAAAAGGTATCGGTCTTAAGTGGCTTATTACAGCTGAGTGCTTTAAATTTGACCTTTTGTGAAGTCGGAAACATTTCCCCCCTTTTTTTTTTTTTTACAGCACTGATGTGTAAAGAGGGCGAGTCACAGCTGGCAAGTGGATTTTGTGGAAGTCACTTTTTTTTAAGAATTTTGTGTTGACTTTTGATGTAAAACATAAAGAAAAGGAAAACACTAATTTAAAAACTCTTTAATTGTATACGTTTATAAAGAAACTTTTTATCTACTGTTTTAAAACACGAACATTTACATGTCTACAGAGCTTTTAACACATTCTGCTGTTT